ACCGGTCTCATCCCGCGTTGCGGGGATGAGGACCATTGCTTGGATATTCTTGATCGGACCCCTGTTGCCGACGTCCATACATCATGATCGGCCGCTCGGCACGTCGTGATTATCTTTTTTGAAGACCGGTCTCATCCCAGCCTGCGTGGATGGGAGCCGTTGCTCGGATGTTTCGGCCTGACTCGACACAAGTGTCCTCTTCTTATCAGGACCAACTGCTCACTGACAATATGATTATCTATCAGTATCGGCTCCCAATGCCGAATTTCTTGAGTTAGCGATCAGGCTCACCACTCCCCCCCAGATGGTGACCATCACCATTGCATGACAAGTGGCTCTGCATCGCCTCGTCATCATATTTCGGATCGGTATCCCGGCACCATCAGATTTGGCACTACTTGTATTCGTTTAGGGAACCGACCAATGACTACCCCCCCTCCCCTCAAAAAAAAGAGAAATGGGGGAAGAGGGAGACATAACTCTCTATTCTTCATCAAGATCATAGGCCTCGCGCAGTACGACCTCAAAGGCTGAGCTGCTAAGCACAAGCCCGAATGGGAAGTGCAGAGGATCGATGAGAGGGTAGATGAATGAAAACCAGGGAATCCCGAAAAGGATAACTGGATAAACCTGTTCTTCATCAAGATCATAGGCCTCGCGCAGCACGACCTCAAAGGCCGAGCTGCAAAGCACAAGCCCAACGGAGGTGCAGGAGACCAGTGAGAGGGTGTTTGAACGAAAACCAGGAATCCCGAAAAGGATAAACATGTTCTTCATCAAGATCATAGGCCTCGTGCAGCACAGTCTCAAAGGCCAAGTTGCGAATCACAAGCCCAACGGAAGTGCAGAGGACCGGTGAGAGGGTGATTGAACGAAAACCAGGGAATTCCAAAAGGAATAAAGTTGTTCTTCATCAAGATCATAGGCCTCGCGCAGCACGGCCTCAAAGGCCAAGCTACGAAGCACAAGCCCAACAGCGGTGCAGAGGACCGGTGAGAGGGTGATTGAACGAAAAGCGACTACCACCCGCAAAAAAATAAAGGAAAGAAATATGGGAAGATGGAGACATAACTCTCTCTTCTTCATCAAGATCATAGGCCTCGCGCAGCACGACCTCAAAGGCCGAGCTGCGAAGCACAAGCTGAACGGGAAGCGCAAAGGACCGGTGAGAGGGTGGATGAACGAAAATCAAGGAATCCCTAAAAGGATAAACCTGTTCTTCATCAAGATCATAAGCCTCACGCAGTACGGCCTCAAAGGCCGAGCTGCGAAGCACAAGCCCAACGGGAAGTGCAGAGGACCGGTGAGAGGGTGATTGAACAAAACAGAGGACCCGTTTGTCGCTAAAAATCATCATGGGCCAGGTGCAGGACGCCCCCAGGGCTAACCAGGACAGCACGGTTCCACGGACCGGGCAGAGGACCGGTGAGAAGGCATTCCCTAAAAAATATTATATATAGGGGAGACGACCGGAGAGAGTGTCGATACACACAGGATGAACAAATGGAAAAGAAGGAACTCTTTATTCTTCAGCTCTACGGTCAAGGGCCATGAGACGATCATCGCAGCCTTATGCAGTACGATCGACCCCTTAGCACCATCGTATCTCGTACACGGTCGGGCTCGCCCATTCCTTCGAGGATGCGGACCACCATCTTATGGAGCACGATCAGCTCCTCTGCGCCATCGTGTCTAGTTCACGGTCCGGCTCGCCCATTCCTTCCAGGACAGAGACCACCGTCGTATGCAGCACGATTGGCCCCTCATCGCCATCATATTCCGTTCACGGTCAGTTTCGACCATGCCCTTCGAGGATGGAGAACCATCGTCTTATGCAGTACGATCGGCTCCTCAACGCCATCGTATCCTGTTCACGGTCGGGCTCGCCCATTCCTTCCAGGATGGGGACCACCGTCTTTGTAACACCCCGATCCCGTAGGCCCGAGGTAGTTACTTCTAACCTCTAGTACTGTCCTCACAAACCGCCACTAGCCTTTCCGCACACTTTGTCCTCACTCGTGTGCGCCCTGAGAAACTTCCCAGGGGGTCACCCATCTCAAGACTACTCTCGTGCAAGCACGCTTAACTTTGGAGTTCTTGGTTAATGAGCTCCTTTAAAAGGAGATGCACCTTGTTGGTATGAGTAGTACTATTAATCCATTTAAATTAAATCTCAAGTGTTACAATCACCCCCACTTAGGAACGCAACGTCCTCATTGCGCCCATAAATCAATCTCAATCAAATCCCAGAATCTTGCCCCGCTAAGTGCCCGCCCGATATCCAACGGGTTAGCACACTGTCGCAGGGTTGCTCTGATACCATTTGTAACACCCCGGTCCCGTAGGCCCCAAGGTAATTACTTTTGGCCTCTAGTACAGTCCTCACAAACCGCCACTAGCCTTTCCGCACACTTTGTCCTCACTCGTGTGCGCCCTGAGAAACTTCCCAGGGGGTCACTCATCCCAAGACTACTCCCGTGCAAGCACGCTTAACTTTGGAGTTCTTGGTTAATGAGCTCCCTTAAAAGGAGATGCACATTGTTGGTATGAGTAGTACTATTAATCCGTTTAAATTAAATCTCAAGTGTTACAGTCTTTTGCAGCACGATCGACCCCTCAGCGCCATCGTGTCTAGTTCACGATCGGGCTCGCCCATTCCTTCCTGGACAGGGACCATCGTCTTATGCAGCACGATCGGCCCCTCAGCGCCGTCGTATCCCGTTCACGATCGATTTCGACCATGCCCTTTGAGGATGGAGGACCCCTGTCTTATGCAGTACGATCGACTCCTTAACGCCATCGTATCCCGTTCATGGTCGGGCTCGCCCATTCCTTCCAGGATGGGGACCACCGTCTTATGCATCACGATTGGCCCCTCAGCGTCGTCGTGTATAGTTCACGGTCAGGCTCGCCCATTCCTTCCAGGATGGGGACCACCGTCTTATGCAGCACGATCGACCCCTCAACACCATTTAGAAATTATGACAAAGATACTTACATATTCAATCATAATATTACAGAAAGTGATTTTCAAATTGTTAAATTTGTTCATAAAAAGGGTTGTACGCATGAATAATTGTAACATAAATGAGTTCATTAATAATTGCGTCAAACTAAAATAAGACATATAAAATGGAACAAAATAATACATAGGTAGTACACCTCGATTGGAGAGGGTCAAGAAAACAACTAGCTCTACCTTGCGGGTAGGCAGGTTGCAGGCGTAGACCCCAAATGAAGGGGGGAGTCGGAGTTAAGATGGTGAGCCGACCCCTGAAAGTCTAAGAATTGAGGATATTAAAATACTTTCGATTTGATATTATGTCTCTCATAACTCATTATGAGAAACATTATGACTTCTGAAAAATTAGCACTATTTAAACGTGAAATGAGAAAAATTTGATGTAGAATATTGATTACATTCTCAAAATTTTTAAATATCGTCTAATTCACTCTAGAGTTAAAATAACTCTAGTCCCTCTGGTTTTATATTTTAAACCTTTTAACAAAATGGGAACTTTTCCCCAGTAAATAAAATCATCTACACGTGAACTCTAGAATATACTCCGTATATGACATATATATTAAAACCATAAGAGTACTGTTCTTTTTTAAATTATTATTGTCTAATCTGCATACGAAAAATTCAATTCAAGCATTCTCTAAAAATGATCCACATTTTAATCTATATTTAGGCTTTGTTTGCAAACACTAAAAAAAACATTTCCCAGCTTTTGACTTAAAAAAGCTAAAAAGAATATTTTCAAGTAACAATTTATACTTAAATTAATTAATACTTAAAAGCTAAAAGCTAGAATTTGATTTTTACGTTTTGTATTACACAAAAAACACTTATTTTATCAAACACTATCAACTTTTACTTTTCAAAATCCATTTTTTCTCAGACACCATCAACTTTTGTTATTAAACACTTTCCAAAATTACTTTAAAAAAAGTTCAAAAGCACTTATTATTATCCGTAGTGTTTGCAAAGAAAGCCTTGGTGAAGTAGAATTTGCTAAATATTACATAGGGCCTCTGCAAGTACCGGAGACAGAGCTCCACTCTTTATCTGTCAGATTGAGATTATAGTCCAACTTACCTTCTCCCAACGTACTGTCCGGTCGGGGGCCCTCCTCCCAACGTACTGTCCGGTCGGGGTCAGGGGCTTTGCCCGTGCCTCAAAGGATGGATGGGATGTCATCCTTTCTTTTTTTTTTTTTCTTCTGAAAAGTCGTTTTTGTGGCTTTGCCCGTGCCTCAAAATCCTCAAATCGCTGGATGTTTGTCCGATCCATAGCTTAGGATCAAGCTGGACACCACATGTTCAACTTTGGACCCAAGGGAACTAGTTCGAAGTTCTTTCAGAAATTTCATCGAACATCTATCGATCAACGTCTCCGGTCTACCCTCCCCTGGTTTTACGTGTCATACCAACACAGTCTCTTATTGCCACGTGTCACTGTGTCAATAGACCTATATTTCCGTCTAATAATGACGGACCCGCCACTTCCATTGCTTTCGATAGCTGACTAGCCACCGCCGCCGTTGCCGTCGCTCTGTAAAACGTTTTTCCAATTATGCACCTTTGCCGGTCGCCACTTCGGCTCCTGAAATGCAGTCACTTCAGACAATTCTCCTCTCAGCACTCCCAGCTGGAAAGCGCGGGCACCATGGCGTCGCTCTTAAAGACCCGATCTGTGATTCGATTCAGAGGACCGGACACCGTGAAGTTCCTTCAGGGCCTTATCACCAACGATGTACAGAAACTCGTGGAGCCTCCAGACGAAGATAAGACCAATTTGGTCACTACTAACTTGCCTTTCACAACTGCGCCTCCGCTCTACGCCGCACTTTTGACTCCTCAAGGAAAGTTCCTCTACGATATGTTTCTGTACAGACCACCACGGTCTGATGAAAAGCTGGACACCTCAGGTTCAAGTTCTGGCCCGAACCCGGGCGAGTTGGAGCTCTATGCAGATGTTGATAGGTCTATGTTGGATAATCTCTTGGAAGCTCTGAAAAAGTTAGCCCTGATTGTACTTTGAAGTAGTAGTTATCTGCAGACTCACAGACTAAGAATTCCCTCAAACTAAACTGCTACCGATGAATAGCTTTTCCTGGATATGAAATGGCAGAAAAATAATATAGCTGTGAAATTATGGAGTTCTTGGGCTAAAAGGATTGAACTTTCCGAAAAGAAAAGTGTTGGGACATCCAGTTCCCTTAGAAGCATGTTTGGGATAGCACATAATCTTGATTATAAGTTTATAACTGCTCTATAGTTATACTAGTATGATTTATTTTCAAAAAAGATATCTGTCTGAGACCATAATCTGAAATCTCATCTATAAGTTCTTTTTTAAAGATATGTGTTTTCTTGAATCTTAAAACTCGTACTTTCCAACAACTTAATTTTTCTTTCTTCCATTTTCATTCTCTTTTTAACTTGTATAAACATTTTTTTGCTGCACCTATATCTAATGAATTATTTTGATACATATTTTAGCTAGCTTACCCAAAGAATACTTGATTCTGATTCTGAGCGAGTATACATTGATTATGAGCGAGTATACATTGATTAGTGAAAAAGTCGGTTATGGCTACTATAGGAAACTTATGATAGGTTTTTATCTGTGTTGTTAAAACTTTTTTCCTTGAACTTTAAAGTTACTTGTTTTTAGGGCTAACTTCTTAACAATGTGAGGTATTCTTTTGTTGTAGTTCACAAATGGTTGTTTTTTATAATTCTGGTGAATGCCGTTATTGCAGATACAAATTACGATCCAAGGTTGATATTGAGAACTTCTCAGGTGATTTTTCTTGTTGGCAAAGGTTTGGTCAAAACTTGACGAATATATCATCCAAAGAGCCAGAAGCTGATAATGTTGGATGGGCCGCTGGAACTGACCATTCCAGTGAATCATCTGCGAGAGGAAATAGCTATGGGTGGTCATGGCATAGAGATCCTAGGTTGTATTGCCTTGGATTTAGGGGTATCTTTCCTTCCAACATAGTACGTAAGTGTTGTTATTTTTTTCATATTTATAGTCAACCAATTCAAGTATTCGAGTCCAATGTATTCTCTTTGTTTGTTGCAGCACCTCTAGTTGAGGCAGATAAAGACACCAGTGAAGAAAACTATCTTCTATGGAGGTTGGAGAAGGGGGTTGCTGAAGGACCATTGGAGATTCGAAAAGGTTGTTTTTCTTAACCCCCTGTTTGTTATTTTCTTTTTGCGGGGTATTTATATCTTTTAAAATTCACATATGTGTCACTAACTACGGCTATGCTATGAATTTCTTGTGCTGTTCCATATCTCAATGATATCTTGTCGTGCTTAGTATCTTTGCTATAATGTGGTGTTAAGAATGAGAGTGAACTGGTTGGACTTGGAACCGGTTAGCGAACTGGTCCGGTCTATTAAGGCAATAAAGAACTGGTTTAAACCATGTGAACCAGTTCATTGGTAGTTTCATAGCTTAACTGTTTTTGCTTAGCTTCAAATGATTGATTATCATAGGCTAGTCTTATTCAAGATTAAATTATTGTTAGTTTTTTGTTTCCATATTATGTATGTGTGCGCACATGCTCCCAATTTATACAAAACCGATTCAACGGGTTTGACTACCATCATGAATCCATGATCATATCAGCAGTCTGGCTTTTATTACCTTGTTCAGCTACAGTATTTGACAACATTTGTAAGAACGAATACTCCAGAGTTTGGTTTTGTTGATTAGCTTTTATAGCCTATGAGACAATATTGCAAGATCTTAAATCTTGTGTAGGAGTTACAATAATCTTGGTTAAGATATATTATTTTTCAGGTGAATCAATCCCGCTTGAGTATAACCTGACTGCTTTAAACGCAATCAGCTTCGACAAAGGGTGTTATGTGGGCCAAGAACTCATTGCTCGTACGCATCACCGTGGGGTCATCCGGAAGCGCTTGCTTCCTCTCATATTTGTTGATGATGGTGGCAGTGGTAAGTACCCTGCTTTTTTCCTTACAATTCTGCCCCCCACCCACCACTACCCCAGCTATATCCGAGGAAAGCTGCATTTTGCTTTACAGCAGAGGCTTAAATACGTTTTAGTTTGTGCAAATGTAACCTTGTTTGTATTGTTATCCACTTATCCCTGTAGATTTATGTTCTTTTTTATCCACCCCTATAATATGGAATGTTTTATTTTTAGTCCCTCTCCACCAACCCTCTTTAAAAAAATCTGATGCGTGTTACAGAACTCGTATGAGGCATTTCCCGTCAACTTTCTTTAACTCATCGCCTACTACAAGGGGTGTTTGGGCCAACAAAAACAACCATTTCCACTTGAATTCCATGCCTGATTAATCGGGAAATAAAATATAAATCATTTTTTGAAATAAATCACTGTTGTAAATCAAAGTTGGAATTTTGTGAGGCTTAGGCTTAATTAAAGGGAGGTTAACAGGACCTAAAATAAAAATGTATAGATTGCATTGATACCAAACTAAACATACTTGAAAATGGGGGTGTACGCAGTTCGTTCCCCTTCCCCTTGGAGAAGACACTTTTTCTTTGAAAACTCTCAACCAAGTTAAATGGACGGATATAATTTTTTTTTGGAAACTTAAAGGTTGGAATAAAAAAACTGGTGACACACATATATACATACTTGTGTGAAGTGCTCAACATTGTGTTTCTTATTCAGAGGTGGAGATGAGAGTTACTCCGGGGTCTTCTGTAATTGATGCACAATCTAGAAAGAAAACCGGGACTGTCACAACTGCCCTTGGGTGCCGTGGTCTTGGTCTTCTGCGCTTAGAGGATGCCTTTAACGGTAATTTGGCCATACAAAACCATGAAGATGTTAAGGTCCAGACTTTTAGACCAAAATGGTGGCCTTCTGAATGGGTAGATGGCCATCAGCAGTTTGCTGCAGCTACCTAGTTAAGAATGTTGCCTTTTTAGAAGTCCTCTTTTTAGTTCTCAAAAAATAAGAAATAATCTCTTGAAGGGAAAATTATGAAATTTTATCACTGCTTTTAGTCACTTTTTCTTTTCTTGTAGTGCTGATGCTGAAACTGATTTATCACTCGGGCTATGTTGTTAGCTTTATAAATGTATCCATGCAACCCTCTCCGTAGGTAAAGGTCTTGTAATATGGTTCCAGTATTTTATAATTTTAAATATTTATTCAAAAGGAAAAGTTATACTGCAGATCTACGTCAGTGAGTAGAGTTGTTAGCTTTATAATTTTAAATATTTTAACAACAAGTAACTCATCATCAGTGAGTAGAGTTGGACTCGGGTCGGGCCACCCGGCCCGTGGACCGGCCTGGCCCGCTACTGTGCGGGACCGGAACCGGCCCGATTCTCCGGTCCGGGTCCGGGTCGGGCCTAGTCCCGGTGGGTAGTGCGGGTCCGGGCTCGGGTCTCACATTTGGAGAACCGGCCCGGCGGGGTCGGGCCTGGGTCCGGGCCAAATTGATTTTTTTTTCATTTTTTGGGGTTTCACCCGGGTTGGGGTTGATGGTTAGGAGGGGTTTGGGGGGGGGGGGGGGGTTTGGGAGGGTGGGGGGGTGAGTGGGTTAGGAAAGCAAAAAAAATAATACCCAAACAGGAGGCCCGGACCCGGACCGGACCCGGTGGCTACCTGGGCCGATCCCGGGCCCACCTAGGACCGGCCTGGACCCCGGACCCGAGTCCAACCCTATCAGTGAGGGATAACTTGGTTCTAGTAGGTAATGGTGTGCGAATCGATTTAAGGGTATTTTCATGGAACTTGACATTGCGACTGTTATAATTTCTACTAGTTTTTAGATCCAAACAACGATATTCTTTATACTCAAGCACATATCCCAGAAAGACACACTGAACAGAACGATGAGAGAGCTTATTGGCTGAAGTGGCAGGAAAATTAGGATAACAAGCACATCGAAACACACGCATAAAAGAGAAGTCAGGAATCCGGTGAAATAATTTTTGATATGGAGAAAAACCAGTAAATTTAGTAGAAGCTAAGCGATAATAAGTATGGTTCTAGCTAACTCAATAATTTTGCATGCTCACGGCCTTTCTGGAGCGCGTCTGGGTAATATGTGGCTGATCTCGAGTGATAGCGGAACCAACCTACAGGAGGAAGGGATTGAGAATGTTCTGGAAACGAGCATTGTAAATTTTGAGGAGACAAATTGTTCTATTGTGGAAGAACTGCTTTCTAGAGATAAATGCATAACTGACTTCCATGAGGAAAAGTCCTGGAAGCGCGGAGAGACAGAGCCAATTATCATAGAGGACACTCAGGACATCATGGAAGAATATGAACAAGTTCCAAAAAACGGACAGGTGACGGTGTCAGGAGGATGGCACTGCCTGTCATATTTCATGAAACCCTTGGAGATAAGAAGAACTCGACGGTCAAGCAAGAGGAGAAACTTGCTAGTAGTGAAGAGTGAAGATGTGACAGTTAACTCTTTCCTTTAGTGGTGGCTGATCAAACCACAATTACTTTACTAGTGGCTGGAAAAACGGGAACTTATCATCCCTTTTATTGTCTTTCTTCTCAGAACTTTTTAGTTACTTTTCTATATCATTCTAGTAGCAGGTGCAACTTTATTGTTGGTAATCAGTAGAGTCTACCAAATTGTGGGATTAGCGAGTTGGTTCGCCACTAAGCGATCATCCAACTCTATGTCTCATTCCGGTGTAGACTTTAGTTTGATTTCTTTGTATCTGGACGTTTTCTTTAATATGAATTAAGTTATCTTTTGCAAAAAAAAAAGTACTTCTTTGATAGATATTAATACAAAATATAGAGTTAAAGTGCTTTTACAAGGTAATTTGTTGTGTGAACTACTTGAATAAAATGTAAAATGATTGAACCTAAGTGCTTTTTTAGTAAAGCATTCATTGATTAAAATGTGAAGTGGTAGATTTAAGTTGCTTCTATGGTAGTGATAAATGTAAAGCTATATAAGTGCTAAAAATGACATATTTTTCAAAATCTTGTGTACAATTCCGAGAATGCTAATTTATGAGTAGAAGTGTTAAATATAAGGGGGAAATAAATAATATATCCTGAATTTTGCCTTGGTGTGAGCTCCCCACCCCGAACTTGTCCTAGTTTAAAAAATACCCCCAACTTTATATATTTAAATTTTTTGTACCATATTTTAATTAACAGATAATATTTCTCAAATTAAAACATGTTAATTAGATTCAGTTGGCAAAGAAAGATGCGTGATTTCTCAAGAAAATGTGGGCTTTCTTAGATGGTTTGGTATGACATGGGGCATAAATATCTCAATTTTACAAAGTAGGAGATATTTATACGATGTGGACAAGTTTGGGGGTAGGGATATCACACATATGCAAAGTTCAGGGTATTTTATTTATTTTACCCTAAATATAAGTGTCTTCTCAAGTTATTGTAGCGTCTAGACTTAACATGGCTCTTCTATTAGTAAAAACATGTTAGATTCATTCTAAAAGAGTGGTTCAAGAGGTCATATATCATGCACTTCACTTATAGACTTTTTGAAAATATTGCAGATCTATGTTTACAGTATACTTACCTCACTCCTCATTTTGCTGTGGTTTTAAGTGCTCCTATAAATCTATGATAGTACTAATTCACAAAGCCTTATAACAGTGGCCTACACACAAAGCTTTTGGTTAAATAGGAGAGCAGACGGAATTAGAAACGTGATTACCTCCGCTGTTATAAGCTGAATTAGAATAACATTGTGAAACAAATTTCAAGTGTTTACTTAAAATTGATCGCATATAATAATATATGAGAATATTGGGTTCAATCTCTAAACATGTATCGTCTGATTCTTCACTTGCAATTTGAAATAAATATAATTAAACAATTTAATTGAAAATTAAATCTTTAATCTTTCAAATATTTGAGCGTTCTTCATATTTTCGAATCTTTGTTCTTGAGATATTCGAATCTTCGAATCTTCGTTCTTCGAATCTTCGAATCTTCTTGAATGTAGAGTTCAGCTTGAAGGACCTCCGATTTTCAAGTAGCTTGATCTTCAACAAAAGGGTCGTTATGTGGCTTGATTTTCTGTTAAAGGGCTTCCCGGGATATATGACTTGATTCAATCTTCATATGAATATCTTTAAATCTTCAAAGATTCGTTCTTCAGGTCTTCGAATCTTCAAAGCATTGTTCTTCAGATCTTCGAATCTTTGAGCTTCGTTCTTCGGATCTTCGAACGTTCTTCAACTTTTGGACTTATTTTATCAAGATTCGACGAAATCACAAAGGATCATTCGTATATTATTCATAAAATTTGTGGCTTGATCTCTTCCTCTTCTTCGGAATAGTTTAGAGCCACCTTGGAGTTCTTCAGAGCTTTTCTACGGCGTTTCTTCGTCTTGAAGTTCTCTCCTCCTTCCTATCAACTGAGAGTCTGAGACCCCTATTTATAGGTGTGAAAGGGATAAAATATGGTCAGGGGTTGAAGAAATTCATCCATACCTCATGGGCCCTAATTAAAATGGGCTTTAGGCTCTATTTGCTTGTATTTTAATAGCTAGAAAAATCAGCACTTATGCAATGTATCTGGATAGCTTCTTTAACAAGGTTCACGATCATTTTCCATGCATACGGATGAATTTCTTAACGAGATTCATTGCTCTCTTTAGGCTTTATATATTGGGTCATCATCTGATATCGAGTTCAAAATGGAGAAGTTAATAGGACCGGTCCATTCTTTTAAAGACAAAATTTATGATTGAATTAATTGGATATTTAAATGATTCAAATTAATTTAATCATTAAATGACATCCGAATGGATCCATATTAATATTTTTTTCTGAGAAGGCCCAACAACCATTATGAGTAGCTCAATAGAATCTGAAGGTGGCCCACTACCACTTCAATATCGTCAAGAATAGCTCTGTAACATTAAAATGAGCTCAATTAATAATTACAATTGGCCCAACATTTTTTAATTGCCACAAACATGTTTCACCCAAATCAGTAACAACTTCGAGCAATTACGTTCAATCCAAAATAACATGTTTAATTACCTCAAAGCCTTACAACAGCAGGCTAGCTTTTCAATCCAATAAATGTGCAACTAGCTTTTCAATCCGATAAAATTAAGGTCCTATAAGAACCATAAAGACTGAACCAACAATAAAAAACACACAGAATATAAAAGATAAATAATAAAAGCACATAGAATAAGGAAATCATTTTTAATCTTTTCAAGGGATGCTATATATATTCTCGCAATCAACCAATTCAGAAGTCAAAGGAAAATAAGTTGGGCTCAAATTAAAAAAAAACATGACTGTGAAGTTAAGAGCCAAGGAAAAATTAACAGGAGTATAAACAATGGAATTGAAATTTAAAAAAGAAACATCGGCAAGCCCTTGCATCAGAAAAAATTGCGAAGAGAAGATCGAATGAGCGGCCGAGATATAAAAAACACGAGGATTATATATACCTTTGTCTTCCTCTAAAGTTTTAATGTTACGAAAAATATTTACCCACACATAACTTGTGTAATTAATCTAGCCGGTGTCACTTAATTAATTACCTACACATTTTCATTTTATGTGTGGCTAAATACTCACACTTAATATGTGTAGCTATTTTATACTACCTCCGTTTCTATTTGTTTGACATAGTTTGACTTGTCAAGGATTAAGGAAAAAATGTTACTGAGTGGTAAATTTTACTGTAGATTACACTGTTTGGCACTGTTTGAACACTGTTTGACACTGTTTGAACACTGTTTGACATTGTTTTGTACTATTTTGGTAAAGATTTGTTTACCAAATAAGGAAATAAGGAAGTGTGATATTCATTTTGAAACATCCAAAAAGGAAAATGTGTCAAACAAACAGAAACAGAGGGAGTATATGTCATTTTGGCCATACTAAACATTACATATATACGTTTTTATATGCATTTTAATCCATTTACATGCATAATATACTAGTTGGACTAATCACACGTTTTAACTCTTTTAAACATCATTATGAACACATATAACGTTTCTTTAGGTAATCTCATACTTAACCCAAGAGTTGTGCGACATTAAGGTGTCAACTCACATTGAATGAGCTTTAAGAAGTTCTAACCTTTCCGGTTGAACTCCGGCGAACTTCGTTGGACTCCAGTCATACGGTATCACTAGGATCACATTAGACTAGTTCCTAACAAGGTTTTAACATCACAGAACCTATA